CCCCCGACTGGCGAAGGGCTCGACTGCGAGTCTTTGCTGGGCCTGTCCAGGCCAGGAGGGAGCTCAGGAGAGGTGTTCCCTGGCCCAGCACCGAGTGAGCCCCCTGCTCAGGAAACCGGGCGCGTCTCCGGTGTATCTGTACGAAGCTTTACGCTGCCAAAGGCCTGCTTCCTTCCACTCTGCTCACGGCTCACCTGGTCTTGAGACGCAAAGTTTGCGAGACTGCTTCCCTTGCCATGGTCTCATCTGGATGCCCTCACCTTCTTCCCCTTCCTTCCTTATTTTCTTCGTTAACCATTTCCTACAGCCTGCCCTCTGCCAGACCCTTGTGGGGCGGTTCTCATTGGTTCTGACTGCATAAAGATGACCAGAAGCTTCCAAACCCTGGGTTTACTCGGAAAGACTTCAGAACACACACACACACACACACAGCCAAAAATCTTCCCGGCTGAGCCAAATTAAATACAGAGGCCTCTAGTTATTTCCACACATGTAAAATGGACTTAAATAAAGCAGTTCTATGTGGTAGGCTCCAGCAGGCAGAGCTGGGCCAGCCCCCAGGGACGCCGTGGGAGGGCCAGGCGGGAGGCACAGGCTAGGGAGGCTGGCTCTGGACAGAGTATGGGCAGACAGACGCTCACTGCACAGTCAGGCCTGCCTCATGGCCCACCCGGCCAGCCGGTGTCGGGGGTGTGGCCCTCTAGAGCCCAGGACAATGTCAGCCTCTTTTAGACGCACAGAGAAACTGAACGGAAGGCACAGAGACTGGCCGCACACGCCCTGCCCAGACATACACACAGGCTCCCTGCTATCAACGTCCCACGGAAGTGGTCTGGTTGTTACAGTCAATGAACCTGCCTTGACACAGGATAATCACCCTGCATTCAGGTGCGCCCTTGGTATTGATATAGGTGCTATACCATCTTCCCATTTTGCGGAAGAAGAAACTGAGGCAGAGCGGTGATGTAACTTTTCCAAGGCCACATGATTCGCACAGAGGTGAGGAGGGATGAGGGTGGCTGTGGCACTGAGCCAATGGCCAGACCTGCTTCCCACCTGGCCTGTCTACTCACTGAACTCCCCCTGCCCTGGCAGGGCCCTGCACAACCACTGCCCAGACCCGAGGCACAGCAGACACCATGCCCATGGCATTCACCCGACTAGCCCCTCTGCCTGTGGCACCCAGCACGAGCAGGGGCACAGAAAGTGTTTAGGGAACAAATGAAGGCTCAAGCTCGGAAATGCTGTCCCTCTCAACCTGCAACTGCAACACTGGCACACAGAGGCCCTGCCTGGAGACTGCCTGATACTCAGCAGGCAGAAGCTGTGTGGCCTTGGCAAGTGACTTGGCCTCTCTGTGCCCGTTTCTCAACCACAAAATGGGGGTCATGTCCACCTCAGAGCTGCTGTGAGGGCTACATGGTAACACACACACACTAATCCTCAGCCTGGGGCCTGTCACCCAGCGCGTGCTCAGGCAGCTGCTGTCATTATCACAATGTATTACTACCTCCCGCATCATGTGGGTGCCAGGGAGACAGTGGGGCTAGAGGCTGGTGCGCAGGCCCGCGTGGGAAGAGGCCCAAAGGAGCACCCTTCCCTCCGAGGTAAGTGTCAGATCACCTGACTCCACATCAGAGCCCACACCTGGGGACAGCGAGGGGTGAGTGACCGGAATGTGGCCACGCTGTGTTCAGGGGCAGCACTGGGGTGCCACGTTTGTTTGTTTTTAACTAAACTTGCTTGAGGGCCCTCTATGTGCCAAGCACTGTGTCAGAAGGTGGGATAGTAATAATACACCCACAATAGGGATATATTATCCATAATGTATCCATAATAAGGATAACTAAAATTTGTTTAGCACCTACCATGTGCCAGGCTCCAAACCTGGCACTGAGGGTCGGCCCAGCCCTAAGCCCAGCTGGCCAGGACAGGCACAGATGAAGGGAGGGGCCGAGAATGACCAGCACGCTGAGCGAGCCTGAGTGCATCGGATGAAAGCGTGAAGAGGCAGGCGCGGGGAGGGGATAATGTGTGTCCTCTGGAACTCGCTGGGTTGCAGGCGCCCACGGGGCCCCAGGGAGAGTTACTGACTTGGCTGTGGGATGTCAGGGCCTGGGCTGGAGCCAGATCAGAAGCCCCAGAATGGAAAAGACCATGAGAAGGAGGGAAGGAAGAGGGCTGGGCAGAGGCCTGGGGATCCCTATGCTGAAAGGCAGCCCAGGTGCTAAGCAAGGTAAGGGGCCAACACACCTTGGGTAGGTGCAGGTGCCACAGCCCAACTCTCCCATCTGGTAAGGGGAAACCAAGGGCAACAGTCAGGGCCACAGTCCTGCCCAGGGGACCTCGACCAGATGGGAGAGCTAAGAGCCCATTTTTGTGGCCCCATCATTAAGCGGTGTTGGGGTGATGGAGGAGAAGCAAGTCCTTGTACCCCAACTCAGGGAGGCCCTGACAGGCAGTCACAGGCCTGGCCTCCCCTGGTCACTTCCAGACACAGGGCCTCCCAAGCAGGTCAGGCATCACTTGGGCACCAAGTGATGCCTGGGAACCTGGCCCAAGCTTAGAGTTCTTGAGTTGGGCCAACACAGCCAAAGGCTGTTCAGGGCATGCTGTGGCCATGCCCCAGGGCCCCCCCTCCCCCCCGGACATGATACCTCCACGGCCAGAAATGAGGCTGACCACGAAACAGGTCCTTCATTTAAAATCAACAAATTATCTGGGATCTGCTTCTTAAATAATCCAAGGGCAATAAAAATTGTAGACCTTTCTCTCTACTTTTGTATATGTTGGAAATTTTCTATAATAAAAAGTTAAAAATAATGCTAAGACTCTGCTATCCATATCAAGGCCAATTATCTTGGGTTATCTTTACTAAGTGAAAATAAATAAAACAAAAACTCCAAACCTTGAACATTTAAATTACAGCTCTGAGAAATCAGAGGCCCAGAAGGAGGAGAGAATTCAGGTTTGGTGGCCACACCTCCCCTCCCCTAGCAGCAGAGGAAAGAGCCGCTTCCCCAAACACTTCCTTCCCGACCCACCCCCACCCCATAGGACTACTGCACCCTGGGCCTGCACAGGGAATAACAACAGCAGTAACAATAACAACTGCAGTCAGTACCAACAGCAGGGCCCACAGGAGCAGCTGGCATTTACTGAACAACTGCTCTGTGCCTGGCCTATTCGAGCCCCTTCTCGCCCATCCCCTGGAGGGAAGGGTCGTCCCAATACTGTCAGGGAATCTGGAGGGTAGTTCTTAGACCCAGCTGACTTCCTGGGGCTGGTAAACATGTTAAGATTCAAGGCCACTGGGCAGAATTTCCAGGGATCCTCCGTCCCCTGTGCAAAATGGCAGTGCCCCTCTGTGCTCATCCATAGTGGCCATACAGGGATCCGGCCTAGCGGGGGTCCTGCAGGTTTGTGTCCCTCCTCTCCCTCTTCCCTCTCTCGCCCTCTTTTGCTCCTCCCTGCCTCTGCCTCATCCTACATTCTAACAAGCCCAAGCCCCTCAGCAATGTCAGGGAGGGGGACAGGGGGCCTACACATTACCCAGAAAACCAAGTCCCCATTCTGTAAAGCTTGAACATGTTATTTTCATTTTCTAGCCTCAGTTTCTTCATCTGTAAAACAAGAATGATGCCAGCTATTTCACCGGGCTCTTGGGAGGCTGTGATCAGATCGGTATGTGTATAGCCCAAGGCCACCCAAATGCCAGTGATGACCACTGTTATTCTGTAGTCCTTTCCAGCCCCAGTCTCAATCGTGCGCCAACTTCAGACCACCAGAAACAGCTGGGGCTTTGCCCAAACCCAGCTGAACCCTCCTCCCCCATCCTGCCACCACGTACTGGACACCTGTCACATGTCCTACCCACGCTGTCTCTCCCTCCACTGTCCCCATTCAACAGATAAGGACGCAGCAGCTCACAGAGGTGACCACTTTGCCCTGACCGCACATCCACAAAGGGGAAGAGCCGGGATCCACACCAAGTTTCTCCAGCTCTGTCCTTTACAGCAAGCTGCTTCCCTCCTGCCGTCTTCCTTTCAGATACACAGGCTGGAGAGGGCAGAGCAGTAAACTAGGGACCCAGGACCAGGCTCTAGAGCTCTTGGCCTTAGGCATCAGAAGCAATCCCAGGTAAGACCAGGGAGCCAGAGGTGCCCAAAGCCTCAGAAGCTCAGCACAGGCCAGCTGAGAACTCCAGAGGTACCCCAGGTCTGCCCCAAGTGACACTGGGCTGTGGGGGCATCAGCTTCGATGCCCCCAACCACGAAGTGTCCCCAGTCCTTGGGAGGTCTCTCCCCAAACACAGCACAAGCCACTTGCCCATCCTGTCTAAGAAATCTTTGTTCTAACCAAATTGCAAGCCATCTTACTTTGCAATTTTTCCAATACACAGGCAAAGCGATTTCCTTAATACTCTTAACCATCCACTTCTTAGAGAGCTGTTTGGACAGCAGGCTACAAGCACATACTAAAGTCTATGTGCTTAGTCACTTCCCACCGAATCTGCCATCTGTCACGCCCCGAATAGCCCTGGGCCCTTTAACTGCCCCCATCACCACCATCTCTCTGCCTCCCTCTCTCTTTCAACCCGGGCCTTGTCTGTGGCCAAAAATGATCCATACCCCTCTACGAACACGTCTCCCCAAATAAGTAATGCAGTACAGTCCTGCAGTCGAATTTCTCAGGTCTAAAATAACAGCTAAAGGCTACCATTTATCAAGTGTTTACTATGTGCTGTTTTAGCACTTTATGTGGATTAATTCATATAATCCTTACAACAACTCCACGAGCTCCTACTGTCATCCACATCTTACAAATGGTGAGATTGAGGCACAGATAGGCTAATGAACATGCCCAAGGTCACAGAGGAAGTGAGGAGCAGAGCTGGGGTAAGGGTTAGAGATACAGGTAGTCTAGCTACAGAAGTTGCCTCCCTAACCACTGAGCTAAACACCTTCCCTCTGCAGAGGACTAAAGGGTCAAAAGCTCACCTCTCTTTTCATGGATGTGGAAACTGAGGCCCAGAGAGGGGATGTGATGAGATGGGTGGCCAGAGCTCTCTGACAGATGCCAGGGCTCTCAGGTGGGGGAAGGCCAACAACCAATCAGGGCCAACTCTGGCCAGGCCTTTCTGGAAGGTCTCCTCTCTCAGGAGGGGAGACCCTTCAAACCTTAGGAATAACCAGAATAAATAACAATCATAAGAAGTAACATCTATTGAGTGGTTACTATACTACTGTAAAGCACTGTTTTAAAAGTCTTACATGTATTAGTGCATTTAATGATCTTACCATCTAGCCTCCCAGCCAGAAATAGAAAAGCAAACACCATTTGCTTCTGTCTTTTAAACAGACATCAGGGACAAAGTATGCGTGTTGGCAGACAGACTCCGACCTGGCCTGGGCAACAGGGGATTTCGGCAAAACCTTTCCCGTTTGAGTGAATGAGAACTCCTCCTCCCAGTTGGGGACTCTTCCAAATATTCCAGTTTATTAATGATCCCTCTGCCCTCCCGTGGGATCAAGTTCAGCGCTGACATGCACGTATGTCCTCTAATGATGTCAAAGGCCCTAGCCTCAGGTTCCCTCCCTATGCAAAAGCCCACCAGGTTCACACTGGTCCTCACTAAGTCAGGGGACAGTCAGCTTTTGTCTTCAAGACCCCATTTCAAGAAGAGTGTTGCCTGGGGCTGTGCACAGGATTTAAGCATGCTACCCTCAAAATGCTGCGAGTGCTGGGGCCTGAAGGACGCTGTGCCAGAACGCTGCTGGCGAATCCGGGGCTCAGCTCTCAGTCTGCGGGGAAAGAGACAAGATGCCAGGAAACCCGGTGAGTTGTCACCAACCAGCTTGCACACTGGGACATTTGGGAACATTCTGGAAACCCTAATACCAAGGGATACCAGACACCTGTTCTGTGGCATGGAAAAGATGCAAAAGGCTCCACTTACAATGGTGACATATTTTGCCAAAGGACATTTAATACAAGAGGGGCAGAGCCTGGCTATAAAGTACATAGACTCTGAAGCCAGGTACACTTAATTCAAATCCTAACCCTAGCGCTCACTTTGTGGGACAGTGACCCTGGGCAAGTCATGGAACCTTCCCCCATCTGAAAAATGGGTACCTTACTCATAAATTGCTTTGAGAATTAAGCACTTCACACAGAAGGTCACTAAATGGCAAGCACTGCTATTATTATTATTACACTGACCTTTGAACAAAGAGGAAAAAACAAATGCAGTCATAGTTTCCCATCTTTACAAACGGGGAAGGGACTTGTGCTATGGCTCCACATTGGGGCCTTAAGTTCAAATTAAACTGTCACCATATCAGGGAGCCATAAACCGAGAAATAAAATGGAAAGAATGGGCCTTTCCACCAAGGGGAAAGCTGCAGGCATATACAAATAAGGCATAAAAACATTCAAGTCAGAACAACCAGGACACAGAAGAGAGATTTCAGAGAGCCATGTGGGCTCTAGAAATCAGTCTTCAACCCCAAAAATCAGCAATAAAGAAAGTGTGAGGAGCCTCTGTAATTTCACAAAAGGGAAAAGGTGGTAATACTGATGATGGTGACAACAGCTACCATTTGTTGGGCATCTGTATGCATCAGTCACCACGCAAAAGAAACACAGAAGTTTCTTTTGGCCCCGTTTCATCGATGAGAAAAATCACGGCTCAGAGAGGGGAAACAACATATCTGAAGCCACACAGGTGGGAAGAGGCAGAGTCAGGGTTTTGTGGGACCCTCCCGAGGCCTGTGCGCTGTGATGTGCACTTCCGTATCATTAACCTCGGTTCCTCTACATCTAGCCCAGGGCCTGGCACAGAGCAGGTGCTCAGTGAATGTTTGTCACATGAATAAAGGAAGACAGGAAAGTACAAGATTGGGTGTCCACTGGGTCACACATATCTCTCCAGAGAATAACTGCATACATCAGTTCACACCTGCATTCATTCACTGATGGCTGGCTGTGCCTACCATGTGGCCAGGTCCTGTGCTAGGCAGGCATCAGGCACAAGCCATGAGCTCAGGGCTCAGCAGCCAGAGCAGTCACAGGTCCAGGTGGCACCATGCCATATTTCCACCATAATTGCCATCAATTTTCTCTCTGCAGCGGCTCACACAGTGGGAATAGCCAGATTCTCTAAGGCCATGACAATTAATTCTTCAAGAGCCTTAATGGCCTCTAAACTCATTAGGATTTGCTTTTGAGGACCAACGATAAATCACATTCAATGGTCTTTGAGCACCCCCCCCATACACACACAAACACACACGCCCACAGGAGACCTCTCCCCAGGCCTCCAGCTGGGTCCGAACCTATCCAGCCTATGCCATCATCTTGCCTCTGTGCTTACTGGGAGGATATCCCAATCGTCATCATAATGCAAAGGAAATTTACAAAAGAGGAAGGAAGAAAATCCAGCGAGTCACTGGTGGTTGGGAAGAATAGAGTGCTGACTTGAACAAATGTGGCATCGGACCAGAGGCCTGAGGCTGGATAGTCCTGCATGGCTTTCAGACACCCATGGCCTCAGAGAACCTCTGTGAAGCAATATTATCATTCTCTGTCATGTAGGGTGAAACTGAGGCTCACAGTGGCATGGAAACTTGCATAAACTCAAAAAACTGAGCTGGGATTTGAAACAAAATCTGTTTGCCTCCCCAAACCCTTCTTTCCTGATGCCCCAAGCTGCCCTGGATTCGGAGACTGCCCTGGCAAACCACGATTCCATGTTCTGCACAGTCCGGCCAGATAAAACCTTACACACACACACACACACACACACACACACACTGAGTTCCTGCTGTCTTGCGTACCCTGTCCAATCCCTTCCAGAAACACCTATTTGCCTAGTCGTCACACTGCTTGACTATGCAGCTGTCAGTCCTGTCCATGTTTTTGAACTGAAGCTGTGTAAATATTAGCACAACCAGTTCATAGTCCGACTTCCTTAAGTGAAAGCCTGAAAACCCTGGCAGGGCTGGCAGGGCCTCCAGAAGCCTCCATCACAACATCTGGGTTCTCCTCTAGGCTCCCTTTATGATATTCTGGCCTACTCACTTGATCCACTGCCTTAGTGTGACCATTTAGAAAACAAGAGTTAGCAGATTCCTGGGTTGCCAAGAGGCTTGAACAGCAAAGCATCAAAGTGCTGCAAGGTGAGGTCCCACAAGTGCTGGTAGAGAGACCTGCGCTTGCAGGTTGGTGCACAGTGGCATGGTTGGGACCAGGAATGGTTATCTTGGGTTTGTTACAGACTGGGGGGCTCCTGAAGTTTCTGAAGCATGCTGGATTCCATCTGAGATTAGAGAGGGGGAGATGGCCAGGCGGAAGGATTCTAGTTGGGGGGCAAACTGCCCCTGGAAGGCTCCTCAGCCTAAGGAGTGCCTAAATTCAGCTTTCATGGGCCAGGGACTGGGCTGATTCTCTCCAGGCCTCCCCCAGGCTTCCTTTGGAACCACATGACTGGTGCTCCAGGGCAAATGGGACCACATGCTCTGAGGCCCAAGGGTGAACTGCGGGTCGCACCTGACCAGGGCTTCTCAATCTCCAAGACACCTGGCCATGCTCTGGGACTTGGGGAGCAGCTGCTCATCACCAACCCAAACCACAGAAGGATCCAGGTGGGCTTCTCTGCAGCTGGAAGATTTAGATCAGACTCTTGGAGGGACTTCTAATAAGAAAGAATACAGGACAAATACGCAAAAGAGGTGGCCTGGACATGCCAAAGAGGATGGTGATACTGTGGAGGTCCTACTGGAGGGGCAGAAAGCCCCTCAGTCCCCTTCTACTCCGGGGAAGGCGGGACGCAGCCAGGAGAGCGCGCTGACTTGTGTCCCATGGTTACCATGTTTCCCACTGGACCACTGGGTCCATGAGGACAAAGACTCCAAGTTTTGTTCACGGCTATGTCCCTGGTGCCTAGGGCAAGGACTGGTACACAGCAGGCACTCAATTTCAGTTTGCTCCTCTGCAATATGAGGGTGCTGGTGCCACAAGGATAAGAATGCAATGGAAATACTGAGGGGACAGCTGATGGACTGCGTGCGGCCGCAGGCGTGTGTGGGATATAAACAATGTGACCCCCATTCCCAGACTGCTGCCACTGATTCCAGACAGATGGTCCTACAGCTGCAGCTGCCTGGCCTCCACCCAGATGCAAGGAGCAGTGGTCCCTGAGAGCCTCCCCCACACCCCCACATGGTGCCTCAGGCCCAGACCCCAGGCCTGGGTGAGCGTTCTCAGTGCAAATGTCAGACACCCGAAGCTACAAAATTTCTGAACTGAAAGATCAAACAGCTCCAGGTGGGCTTCCCTCAGGGGGGCCTGACATAAGCCCCACCCGTGCTCCTCGGAGGGGCCTGCAGATAGCTCAGGGGGCAGCTGTGCTGGCCAGTGGAGAGAGGAAGCAGTATGCCCAGCACATACACACACTGTCTCCCTCTCCCTCCATAAACACGGGCAGTGGATGCTCGCACAGCCGCCCAGAGGCGCCCCAAGCAGAAAAGCCTCTGACACGCCAGACTCCACCCCTGACCACACCAGGTGCACACTTGTGACCCCACACATAAACAACGTCCCCTAACCTCACTAGCAGACCCCTTCCTATCTGCACTCAGTCGCAAACAGCAGCTGAACATAAGTCAAACTCCTCTACTCCACACGCCCCACTGCACTCACTACCAGGTGGCCCTGCCAAGCACATGGTACCTTACCCACAGCCACTGGCACACCTGGGACACCTGCTCGTTCACAGTCCCGGATGGACCCTTTGTCCTTGCACACACTCACTTGGGGTGCACACTCGTGCTCACAGACCAGACACATCGACCCAGAACAGGCCCAGGGTCTGGAATAAACGCCTGCAGGCCTGCCTGCAATCTGACTCAAGCCCAGACCCCGCTGGGCTCGCTCCCTGCCCCCAGCTCCCGTCCCCTGGCTCTCCTGCCCCTCGCATCACACCATACCGTCCCACCCCGTCTCCCTCCCGCATGAACCCCGAAGCGAACTCGCAGCCCAGCGGACTCCCGCTCTGCACACGCTCCCGTCCCCGGTCCCCTCACCCCAGGCACCCGCGCCACTCCCGTCCTGACGAGCTCTCTCTCCAACTCGCCGCCCCGGCCCGCCCGGTCCCCGCCCCGGCCCGCGGCGCTTTGCTCTGCCTCACACCGCGCCCGTCCTAACGGACCGCGCTCTCGCTCGCGCACTCCCGCAGCGCCCCCCGCGCGTCCTGACGCTCGCACGCCGACCGCCTCCAACCCCGCACTCAGCGAAACGCAGCGCCCGGCCGGCCGCCTCGCGCCGCCCTCCCGCCGCGCCCGGCCGGCCTCACCCGCTGTCAAGCTCCAGCTCCAGCAGGGACTGCGTCCTCTCCGAGTTGCAGTGCAGGCACCACATGGGGCGGCCGCGCGCGGGTCGCGGACCGGGCCGGACCCAGCCCAGGCCGGCGCGCCCTCCCGCCGCGGCCGCGGATCCGGGCAACGCCGGCCGGGACCCGCGCCCACGTCGGGGTTCCCGGCCCAGAGTCCGCCGGCGCCCGGCTCCGACCCCAGACTGTCCAGCCCGCCCCGCGCCGCCGTCCGCCCTGCGCAGCGCGACTCCCGCCCCAGGAATGTGGCCCGCAGGGGGCGGGCTGCGCAGGGTCCGGGCAGAGGGAGGAGGGCGCTCGGGGGCGGGCTGCGCAGGGTCCGGGCAGAGGGAGGAGGGCGCTCGGGGCCGGGGCTGCGCAGGGTCCGGGCAGAGGGAGGAGGCGTCGGCGGCTGCGGCAGGGTCGGGCAGAGGAGGAGGGCGCTCGGGCGGGGCTGCGCAGGGTCCGGCGAGAGGAGGCTGGCGCTGCAGGGTCCGGGCAGGGAGGAGGCCTGGCGGCTGCGCAGGCGTCCGGGCAGAGTGAGAGGGCGTCGGCGGGTAGTGGCCGGGAGCTCGGGCGGTGCCAGGGTCCGCAGAGGGAGGAGGGCTCGGGGCGCTGGCAGGGTCGGGCAGAGAGGAGGGGCTCGGGCTGCGCAGGGTACGGGCGAGGGAGAAGGCGTCGGGGGCGGGGCGCATACGGTCGGGGAGCTCGGGGCGGGCTGCGCAGGTCTCTGGCATTTGAGGGAGGGCTCTCGGGGCGGGGCGTAGGGGGCCGGAGCTGGGCGGGCTGCGCAGGGTGGGTAGAGGGAGGGAGGCGTGGGCGGCTGCGCAGTCGCGGGGAGAGGGAGGTGGCGGCTCAGCGGGCTGCGCAGGGTCGGGGTAAGGAGTGGGCTCGGGCGGGCTGCGCAGTGCGCGGGGTAGAGGAGGAGGGCTGGGGGCGCTGCCAGGGTCGCGGTAGAGGGAGGAGCGTGGCGGGCTGCGCAGAGGTCGCGAGTAGGAGGGAGTGGCCTGGGGCGGGCTGGCAGCGCGGTTCCCACAGTGGTATAGGGGAGGGGCGCGGGGAGCTGCGCTAGGGTGTTGAGGTGAGTGAGTTGTTAGCTGGGGGCTGCGCAGGGTCGCGGTTGGTAGTAGGGAGGTGGGGCGTCTGGGGGCGGGCTGCGCAGCGTTATGGTGGTAGAGAGGTTTGAGTGGCGGTGGCAGGGTCTGGGTTATGCTGGTATTAGAGGAGTTGAGCTGGCGGTGCGGGTCGCGGGTAGGAGGGAGGTATGAGCTGGGGCGGGCTGCGGGGTATGGGTAGAGGAGGAGGAGTCGGCGGGGCAGGGTGCGGATGGCAGGAGTGGAGGAGGAGAGCTCGGGGATCGCTTGGAGGTCGCTAGAGTATAACTGTGGTGTCTGTTCTGTTTGGTGGGTCTGCGTGGGTAGTTTGTTGGTCCTGCTATTGCAGGGACTAGGGGAGGTGGCGCTGGGCGTTGCGCAGGGTCGCGGGGTAGAGGGAGGTGGGCGCTCGGGGGCGGGCTGCGCAGGGTACGGGGTAGAGGGAGGTGGGCGCTGGGGGCGGGCTGCGCAGGGTCGCGGGGTAGAGGGAGGTGTGAGCTGGGGGCGGGGCTGCGCAGGGTACAGGGTAGAGGGAGGTGGGACCTGGGGGCGGGCTGCGCAGGGTCGCGGGGCAGAGGGAGGAGGGAGCTCGGGGCGGGGCATAGGGGGCCGGGAGGCTCGGGGGCGGGGCTGCGCAGTCTGGGTTAGAGGGAGGAGGGAGCTCGGGGGCGGGGCCTAGGGGCGCAGCGCGCAGGGGCGGGGCCGAGCGGAGCCCCTGGGATGAGCATGGCCATTGGAGTCCCAGACTGCTGCCTCCCAGTCCCAGCGCGCGAAGCCCACTCTGCGTGCCTCCTCCAACACCGGAGCCTTCCAGTAGCCACGTCTCCCACCCCAAAGGTGGGGACACAAATACAAAGCGCCAAACCACCCAACTGGAGCCTACCCTGCTGACAGTGCCAACCTCCACCTATCTTGACTTTTGCTTCTCAGACCACAACATGTGATTCTGGAAAAAAGAATGGGTCCCATCCTGAGGCTGGGGCCGTCCTTTTGGGGGCTTTTGGGGAAAGATCTGATGGAAAGTTCCTTTTCCCACTCTCTTTGCCTTCCTCCCACTCAGAGACCTTTCAGGCACCCATGGCAGGTGTAATGTATCATGAATTAGCGTTTTAGAGCTCTTTACCAATATTTGGTCTTCAAGGCAACATTGTGAACTTGGTCGACTTACTCCTGGTTCCATTTTACCAATGAGTAAACTGAGGCTTAGCTTAATCCAGTTGACTCAAGACAGGCCTGTCCTGCCCTCTCCCAGGCTTCCCTACTGTGAGAGCTCTCCTGGCTTGCTGTTCTTTGCTTGTATGTTTACTTGTTAATTTTCTGTCCTTGGCTCCATGCAGCCAGGCTTATGGAATGCCCAGATGTGGCTGGGAGATAGCAAGCCCATAAAGATACAATCCAAACCCCACTTGTCTGGGGCTGCCTACCTGCAAGTCCATCTCCTGGAGGGCAAGGCAGCTGGCAGGTCTGCAGGAGTCAGGAAGCCGCAGGAAGCCACTAATACTGGTGCATCCTCTTACGCACTTTTGAATCTTTCATTTGGAGGGGGTCAGGGACAGAAGCGAGTTGGGCTGGCCCGGCAACAGAAAGGCAGTACCTACACCCAGTTTAGAGCACTAGGGTTTCCTGAGCAGGAATCCAATGCACCCCCACACAGCCCACCTCCACATTCCTCTTCTCGGCTTGCCATGTTTGCTACATTGAAAATAAAGAGGGGCAGAGCAAGATGGCGGACGAGAAACACCACCAGACACAGTGTCTCTGCATAAAAGACAGATTCTAGAAGAAATTAGAAGAAAGAAGCAAGCAGACGGGCATACATAAGAGGAGGGTCAGAAGGAGGGGTACCTGAGACCACGGGAGACTCCACGGGGTAAGGTTGCGGAGGAAAACTGGAAGCAGAGACTTCCCAAGTAGCCTGGAGACCAGCAGCAAGGGTAGGTGGCTTGGTTAACTCTCCCCTCCCTTGCATCTCAGACTGGTGGTGGGCTACCCAGTGGGTGGAGAGACCTGCAGACACCACCAGGCCAGAGATGGCCACCACCAGTGAGCGCCCCTCCCTGACAGCTTTTCCCAGAAGCAGAGAACAGAAAATCATTTGTGGTGCCTGAGGACAGGCTTAACCAACCCAGTTCCACCCAGACTCACTCCCAGACCAGCCCTCACTGAGGGGTAGAATAAGGACGCAAGTGTAAGTCCCAGAGCCCTGCCAACCACCTGAGGCACTAGAGTGCCTCTCCAGAGGAACAAGAGCGGGTTACAGGACACAAAAACAACAGTGTAGCCTGCTCCTCTGAGCAAGTGCCACCCACTGACAGGGAGGACATCCTGCACACCCTTTTCATAGCACCTACTGACTCATCATACAGGGTGTGATTGAATCTCACCCACAAACACCACCTGCTGGCTCAGAGATTAAACAGGGTGTGTCATTACCCAAACGAACACCTAGAGGAAAGAAGAAACAACTGATCCAGATGGGCAGAAATCAGCAAAGGAACTCTGGAAATATGAAAACTCAAACAGAAAGCACATCCCCTAAGAGATACACCAGCCCTGTAGAAATGGACACCATCAAAAACCAGACCACTAAAATGACAGAAGAAGAATTTCCAGCATGGATTGTAAGAAAATCCAACAAGTAGCAAGAAAAACTGGATAATCAACACAAAGAAAACGCAAAAAGACT